CCTGGGATCCCTGGGACACACAAACCCCTCCACCACGATAAGGTTGCGATTCACGGAGGAGGACATTTCAAATGTCAAATGTAATCATTTGTATTAGCTAATAAGCTCTAATAGCATTTTATCTGAAAGAACATATGTTATGGTGAAAACGTAATGTGCATAAAATAGTAAAAAAGTCCATTTGTGTGTGAATCCTAGTGAATTTCACTGTTACCTGGGAGGAGATGATCAGAAGCAGTAGGTCTGTTGCCATGCTGGACCAGCTCTTCCAGATGTTTGGTGGCCCACTGTTGCACTCTGTCTCCACTGGTAACCTGAGGCTGCGGCAGGAACAGAGGAAGGCTGTATTGCCACTCAGAAGCTGCCTTCTGCATATAATGATGAAGGTGGATGTGAACAGACACAGCCATTTAAATTCTCTCCAGAAGAAAAATAAAGCAATATTTCAAGAAAATTCTTATTTTTACTGTCTTAGCATGTAGACATACCGAGTCAGAGTATTTGTCCTCTGAGAGATGAAGTTGCATTGCAATGAGTTTCTGTTTTTCCAGAATGAGCTGAAAAAAGAGAATTCCCATAAATCACTGGATTACTCCTATTTTTAGGAGTCTGGATAACCAGGTTCATGTGTCTACTCTTCATTGCTTCTGTGTTAAAATGCTTCTTCTCAGATTTATTTAGACTGATCTCGTAGTAACATAGTAAAATATAGAACATAACAGAAGACTTCACTATCAGAATGCTGGCTCACTTATGGTTCTAGAAGTTTCTAAAAGCAGAATGGGATGCAGAGCCCTCAGTTATCTAGCTGAAACTTCAACTTTAACTAAAACGTTCCTTTTAAGCTTATAGCTACTGCGAGATTGAGTAGGTTCGAAAGAAAAAGAAACTTGTATCTATTTTTGGACATATTTACACATGAGCATTCATACAGCATAGTGCTGCTGTAGCTTTGTTTCTCTGGGTTCTACCTGACTTTCCATATACTGAACAATATCCTGCTGGACCCTCCATTGAGCAATACTTCTGTCACCATGTCCGTGTTCAGAATGAAGATGCCTAAAAGACAAATTGTCACAGGGTATACTCAGGGTTAATACAGGGTTTAAAAATATCCAGAGCTTCCTGCCCTTTGTAAAAAGGCCTCAAAATCTAATAATTGGTTGTGTAAAGACAAAGAAATAAAACTAGACTTTTGAAAACACAAACTACGTGAAACCAAATTTATTGTAAATAAATTTCTATAAATTTCTATAAATATAAATTTAGAAGATTGAAATCGTCTCCAGACCTTTAGTCCGACTCCTTTTTAAAACAATGCAAATATCCAGTAGAATATCCTGGAAAATAAAACCCACACGGTCCACAGTGGGCAACTCACTGTAGGGCCCCAGTACTGGCATGACATTTCAGGCCCAATGACCCCACCATGGGCAGCCCCTGGTGTGGGCTGCCAACACTAAGCACATAGGGGCCTGTTGTGGGGCCCATGCAGACCTGCAGTGAGCCCACAGTATGCCAATGCCAATCAATGAATAAATCATTGACTGTTGTTGTGAATGGATGCTATATAAGTTGAACTGAACTGAAATGGATTGAATTAATAAATGCTACTGGTTTTGTTGTGTCCAGAAATGAGGAAATAGCCTTTTCCAACCCTGCCACGCCACACACACACAAAAAATGTATTCATTGAATTAATGCACAGTTCTTACTTCAAGAAACTAGGGAAGTCTTCAAATACTGCTTCACAGCCAGGCCATCGGCAGAGCCCACTCATGAGCAGAACACTGGTCCCCTGTGGGATGCTGGAGGAAACAGAAATGCTTCAGTGATGTGAGTGTGACAGTCAAGAGTGTAAAAACATAACGCACCAAAACCAAGACTTACAAACCATTTTCTGCCAATCTGAGTTTTGATATGAAAAGTTTTCTAACCCGTATATTCAGGATTTATGCATTGCAATGCTATGTGTTGCATAAAATATGCTAACTGCAATATGCAGATACAAAGGACTGTTGTTTTCGGAGCAGGGTATGAGCCATTTTTTTCTTAAGCTGTCCTATAGGTAAAGAAATATGAGACAGAAATAAAAGTGAGATAGACAGAACTCAAAAATGATAGCTATAAACCGATGTCTTAATATGAGGTTCAAAAAATAATTCTTGTGGACCAACTTGTTCCAAGTACTAGCAAGGGTTAGGTATCAGCATAGCCAGCTGACAGGGTGTGATGAGCAATTAGAGACAACTATTTTACTAACAAGTCTATGAACCAAATTTTAAATGAAAATTTTTTTTATCGTTATTAAAGCCCTGACTTTGGTGATCAACAAAAAAATATATAATTAAGTTGTTTACCAGTTTGAAAGATTCTGTGTCAGAATCACAAGTCATTTAAGAAATGGACACTGAAAACCTACAAAAATGAACACTTTATTCTTTATTCATGAACATCCAGGGATGATTTGCTTTTTACTTTTTCAATCTACTCTTTCAACTGTCCTAAAATGCTGTGAATATTTTAAAAATCACAAACTTTGTAGCCAGGGACATAAAGATCGGCCATATCTATTGGAACTGAAAACAAAATAATATAAATTAGAATCATGATTATTAAAAAAATAGCTGTTACATAATGAGATTTAAAGACCAGGCTCCACCCACTAAAATTAGATACAAATTTACAACAACTCTTATGCTACATCTAAAACATGAAATATAATGTCAGTCACAAGAGATCACATGTTTGTCTTGGCGTAACATGAACCACCAGCTCAACTTACCCCCAGTCTTTGGGCTCATTTTCGCCACAGCCAAGTGCTCATTTTAGTGAACCAAAAGTCTATTTTTTTTTAGTGTGCTGGCTTTTCATCAACATACACTACCAGTCAGAAGTTTTAGAACACCCCAATTTTTCAGTTTTTATTGAAAATAATGCAGTTTAATGTCTCATTGCACTCTGAAATGAAAACATAGTACAAAAAAGCAATTACAGCCGAAATCAATTTATAGACCAAAATGTATTCTAAACTTTTGACTCATCAAGTTAGCACCTGCTATAACAGCTGAACACAGCCTTGGCATTCTTTCTACAATATAAATCGAATATTCTCCTATATCTGTAGCAGAAGTTCCCATAAATGTGGACCTTGTAGGTTGCTTTCCTTTCACTCTTCTGTCCAGTTCATCCAAAACCAGCTCGATGGGGTTTAAGTCTGGAGACTGTGCTGGACACTCCATGTTTTCAAGCTCACCATCTTGTTCTTTTTTCCTGAGGTAGTTCTGGCATAGTTTGGACTTATGTTTTGGTCATTATCTTGCTGTAGGATGAATCCCTGACCAACTAGGTACATACCAGTTGTCCTGCATGGTGCTGCACAATGCTGTGGTTTTGGATCAGGGAGCCTCTCACTCTGTACGAGTCACTGACCCTGGATCCAGTAAAACAGCCCCAGACCATCATCTCACTGTGGACCCATCCCTTTGCCTACTCAACGGTGTACAAAGATCCTGTGTGATGAACCAAAGATTTCAAATGTTGATCCATCAGTCCATAATACCTTCTTCCGGTCTTTAGTAGTCCAATGGTGGTGTTTCATGGCCCAGCCAAGTCTCTTTGTCTTATTCTGACGTCTGGCTTTCTTGCTGCAACTCGTCCTGTCAAACCTGCAGCTCAAAGTCTTCTCTTCACAGTTGAAACTGAGACTTTCTTACTACGACCACTATTAAGCTGTGCTTGAAGCTGTTGTCCTGTCAGCTGCCTATCACACAGCTGTTAACTTTCAGCTTGTGTGATTAACTTAATGAGAGTTCTCTCTTAAAAATAGAGAACTCTCAGTTCTCTCTGTTAACTTGTCCTCTGATTCAGTCGTGTCTTTCGGTCTGCAGACCTCTTCCTGTCAAAGTTTCTGAGCCTTTGGATGTTGAAGGAAACTGTACTCACTGACACCTTGACTTTGCAGTTTCTCTGTAGGACAGGCCGACATTTATAAGTGTTATGATGGTCTGTCTCTCTTCCATTGTTAATCACCTTTTTCTCACCATTTTTGTAGCATCACACTACTTTCTGCAGTACAACACTGTTCAACTGATGCTGACCAACACTTTTTTTATGGAGACAGAGGGGGTTGGAAGTAATCCAGAAAAGCTGGAACACCTGTAGGAATTAGTAGCACCAGCTTTCAAGGCTTGATCAAGCTCCATTTTCCAGAAAAGCTTTAAATCGTTAATACATTTTGTGTTCCCTGAAAAAGACCTTTTGCATAATTCAGATGTTAATTTTTCAGTTTAGGGTAACCTTACTTTTTTTTTTTTTTTTTAACCTCTGGCAGTTCACCATCTTTGTATCATTCCAAACTATTCATTGTACTTGAATGACTTGAACTACAACAAATAACTGGAAAAATTCGGGTGTTCTAAAACCTTTGAGGGGTAGTGTATGTGATTTTGATTTTATGATGTAAAATCATGCTACAACAGCTGCCGTAGGCTCCTGCTCCCTGTGACCAATAAACTGGATAAGCAGAAGAAGATGGATGGATAACAACAACTGTGCATGGTTGCTGTGCAAGTGGTACCCCACTCACTCTCAGACCTGGGGTATGAGATACTGTTGATTTGTCAAATAATGGGACAATTCCACAGCTTCTACAACCACCTTTAGCAGTAGTAACTTGCAGTAACTGAGTAATTGTTTTCTGTACGACTTCAACAGTCTCTCACATTATTATAGAAAATGGAGCTTATTCCCAGTTTTATTTATCTATGAACCCAGAATCAGTTAGTTAAACAATAGTTAAGTCGTAAAGACATAAAGGCCTAGATGACCTCTAATTTTTTATTTCTAAATTAAGACAAACTGAAGTTATTGTACTTGGACCTAGAAGTCTCCAGTCTTCCTGGAAGACAGCGACTCATCTTAGAGTTATTTTTGATCACGATATGCCTTTCGATATTAACATTAAACAAAGATCTAGAATCTTTGTTTAACAAAGCAGACAAAGTAAAACTAAAAAGCTAGCTCACACATTTGTTACTTCTAGGCTGGACTACTGTAGTTCCCTGTTATTAAAGCTCACTGAAAAACCTTTGATCTAAATTTCTGCAGAAAAAGTGCTGACAGGAACTAGAGAGAGCATACAGCAGGTAAAGTAAGTACTGAACACTTCACAAAATAATTTCTAAAGGTGCTGTTGAGATAACATTCTCACCAGATGTCAGTAACAACCATTCCAAAAACATGCAATGAAATAAAACCATTTGTCAGTAGATTTCCATAAATGAAGACATATGTAATAATAAGAAATGAAACATGAGTATGAAACACAGTGAAATGTATTTAATACTTCATAGAAGAGCATTTTTTTTTTGTTTCAAGATGCCGCCTGTATGGAGAAACTAGTCCCATTCTTCCACACCAACAGTCTTTAAATCCTGATGGTTGCGTCTATGAGCTTTAGCTGTTTCCATTTGGATTCAGGTCAGGTGACTGACTGGGCCATTATAGCAGCTTTATTTTCTTTGGCTGAAACCAATTGACAGCTTCCTTGGCTGTGTGTTTGGGATCACCGTCTTGCTGAAATGTCCACCCTTGCTTCATCTTCATCATCCTGGTGGATCGCAGCAGATTGTTGTCAAGTTTACCTCTATATATTTTTCTTTGAATTATATGAAGCGTGCCAGTGCTAAATGCAGAAAAATAGCCCCTCCCCATGATGTTCCCACAGCCAAGCTTCATTGTTAGTATGGTGTTTTTGGGGAGCTTTTCAGTGCGTTTTGACCTGCAGACATTGCATGTATTATTATTATTATTATTATTATTATTATTATTATTATTATTATTATTATTATTATTATTATTATTATTATTAAACAGTAGCAGTGACAGTCAGCAGCGGTGAGCATGCATACATGGCATACGGCCATGGCAGTTGAGTGCATTACTTATTGTTTTCTTTGAAACAATAGTACCTGCTGATTCTCTTGCACAACTCTGCTGATAACTCTTTTCACTCCTCTGTCTGAAATCTTGCAGGAAGCACTTGTTTGTGGCCAGTTTATGATGAATGATGTTCTTTTCACGCCCCACAGTGCTCACTTGAACCTTAAGTAGTTTAGAAATTCTTCAGTAGTCAGTGGTACATATGCTGCAACAATGTGGTTGTGAAGCTCATTCGTTTTACCCATCATGAGATGTTTCTTGTATGACACCTTGGTAATGAGACACCTTTTTATAGGCCATCATTTGGGGCCGAACCAGCGCTGATATTAATTTGTAGTGGCTCGTTACTAATTACTCATAGATTTCAGCTGATGTCATTCCATACTGTTTTCTTCATGTGTTCAATACTTTTTTCCTTTTTGTCATTTCTCATTATTACACATAAGTTAATTTAATTGCATCTATTGTTCAATTTGCATGTGTGGATTGGATGGATTGTTACCAACATCTGGTGAGAATTGTATGCCAATAGCACCTTAAGAAATATACTTACTTAGAAAATTGATGAATTGTGTTCAATACTTACCTGTGTGTATTTAACAGTAGAATGGGAGCCTTCAGCTTCCAGGCCCCTCTTCTGTGGAACCAGCTCCCAATTTGGATTTAAGAGACAGACAGCCTCTCTGCTTTTAAGATTAGGCTTAAAAGTAGCTTTTTTGAAGCTTACAGTTAAGGCTGGATTAGGTAAATTTAGTCGCCTGCAGCTGGGGGGACACTCACCTCTTTCCACTATACACCACTACTGCATGTCATGAAATTTTGTCTTCTTTTTCCCATCGTTGATTTCCTGACCTGTCTCTCTATGCTTCCCTGGTCTCTTTTCTTTCTCCTTACCCCAACTGGTTGCAGCAGATGGCTGCCTCTTCCTGAGCCTGCTCCTGCTAGAAATTTCTTCCTTAAAGGCGAATTTTTCTTTCCCATCCATCCATCCATTCGCTTCCGCTTGTCCTTTTCAGGGTCGCGGGGGGCGCTGGAGCCTATCCCAGCTGTCATAGGGCGAGAGGCAGGGTACACCCTGGACAGGTCGCCAGTCTGTCACAGGGCCAACACACAGGGACAGACAACCATTCGCGCTCACATTCAGTCGCACATTCACACCTAATGGCAATTTGGATTTTCCAATTAACCTATCCCCACAAGCTGCATGTCTGGTGGGAGGAAGCCGGAGTACCCGGAGGGAACCCACGCAAACACGGGGAGAACATGCAAACTCCACACAGAAAGACCCCGGCCTGATGGTGGAATTGAACTCAGGACCTTCTTGCTGTGCGGCAACAGTGCTAACCACCGTGCCACCGTGCTGCCTTTTTCTTTCCCTTTATTGTAAAATACTACTCATGGGTAACTGTCGGATAGTTGGAGTTTTCTCTCTTAAATTGTAGGGTCTTTATTTTTACAGTCTAAAGCACCTTTGAGATTTGGCACAATGTAAATAAAATTGAACTGAACTGAATTCATTGTTACCCGTCATGAAGCCGGGCCTCAAGAGAGGTCTGCTTTTGAATGTCTCCCCTCCTCAAGGAGAGAAAATGATGGCTCGATGTGGGAGAAGAGTCCATGTGAGGTGAAGGTTCCTGAAGAATATGGCATGCATCCACCTCTTCCTTGCAAATGGAGACTGCTGCACTGCTTTCTGGATGCACCAGGGGAAGAAAAGATTGATGTAGATTCTTGCCATACAAAGTGAAACCTAATACTATATGCTACTGGTGCTACACTGCCTAACTGGTATATTACTATACTAAAAAAATTCTCAAGACCTAAAATAGAGCACCAGCATCTTACACTCAGCAAATCATAGAATTAACACATTTGTCACAATGTCATAAGAAGCAGAGAAAAAAATCCTACACTTAATTAAAAAAAATTAGCATATAACACTTGTAAACAAACAAACAAACAAAAAAATCCTTAGTTTCAGTATTTCATATGTTGTTTTTTTGTTAAATATGGAGCTTACAAGTTCTGCATTTTTAATACATTCTGTATTTGTCTCTATAAGTTTATCTTTTACTTTAGAGAACGATTGTAAGACGATTTGCATGCATTAAATGGAAATCGTCTTCTCCTAAAGTAAAGCAAAAGACATTTAAATATCTGTATACCACGTCGTTGCCTGTAAGCGACTGGGGAAACGTGACGCAGAACTGATGGTCTCTGCTGCTTCTGTCTAATGCCTTCCATACTGCTCCAGCACTGGAAAGAAAAAAGTATTGATATTGTTTTGGCTTTAACATAATACAGTTTCCTTTTAATCGCTAGGCCTCATTCAAAAACATTTTTTATTTGTTTTTTTTAATTATTATTTTTTAGGAAGAAGTGATGTTTAACCTTTAATAGTTTACTAACAAATATTTGTAACAAACTGTTGGCCATTTGTTTCTGTGAATTATAGCGAATGACTAATGTCCTGCATACACTATTTACTCACATCACATAAAAAAATGTAGTTAAATCCTCTTTTTTTGTGTGTCATGTATCAGGATGAGTACATTCTGAGATATCATCATTTGTACAATCAACACTCTTAAAATTGCAAATATATATGTAAATGTTATATTTTTAATGAAAAATGAGATTCTCATTAGGTTTGCACCATTCTTTTCATATAGGGGTTTTAGGGTTATTCCAATGAATCCAAGCTCTGGAATTGGAATTGTCCAACTGGACAAATCTGGGATTTTACAGTAGAAATAATCACAGGTACAGACTAGTAAAATGTGTTTATTTTCATTGTTATTTTCTGTAATTTCCCTGACCAGCATGGAAGGGCAGTATGCAGCAGGGCGTGAAGTTTGCAACTAGATTAGGCCCAAGCACCCCTGTAGCCTCATCAGCTGATTTTAAATCATCAGTTTTTTGAGGTTTCCCTACTTCCCTTGATGACTGAGTGCCATCACTTTGCTTCATCTCAGCTAACTAGACTCCCTGAACCTGATTTGTTGTATTGTGCTGCTGTTGGTGGCTTTTGGAATTATCTGAGAAATCATAGAGCTTCCTTTTTTGGTAATTTTACAAACTGTCTAAGAAGTCAGTCTTTCAACTTTACTGACTGAAATTTGTGTGTATTATTATAAATGTTAGTTAGCACTACAGTGCTTAATAAATTCATTAGACCACCTGTCATAAAAACAAGAAAACACAAATAGTAATTTGTCAGAAATGAGTTTAAACTAAAAATTATTCTTATTTATTAGGCAAATAACAAACTCAACTCACAGTTTTAGATCCAAATTTGAGCCGGCACTCTGGACTTGCCTGAGATGTCAGAAATTAATCATACATGTGCATTAACATTTTTTCTGCTTTTTTCTGAAAGTTCATGCAACAATAATTTAAAAATAATTATAATAAAGAAACATATAACTTTTTAAAATAAACATTATCTAACATTATATCCAGTGTATACAGTTTAACCAACTACTACAGCTCCCAACTAGAACATAAAAAATGCAGATTTTTTATAATAATAAAACATCATTAAACTTTCTCTTGTTTATTTTAAGCTTATTTTCACAGACACTATAATAATCAATTTCATAAATCCTTCTTTCCAAAAAGCTTTGACGCTGTGCAGAATTTAAACACTCACACAAGACAAATCACATTTCCTAGTTTCAAAGTTTGAAATGTCATCTTTGTATTGTTTATGTTGCGTAGGCTTTAAATGGTTAGTAACTGAAGTTACTGAATATGGTTTCATTTACTTCCACACTGCATCTGAATTTTGATGAAAATGGACTGTACTACGAACACATTTTAGTAGAATCTGTGTTAAGGAAACAAGTTTATTCCAATTAAGTGATGTTATTTGTTACATACCTGACTTCCTGACACAGACATGGGTGGCTCTGCCATCTGTTTGATGCTGTCAAGTTGGCGTTCGACTTTTTGCTGTCCAAATTTCATGTACTCATCAGAAGTCTCTGGCATTTCTTAAGACACAGAAGACACATTAATGCCTCAATAGAAAGACTTTAAAAACCACATTTTATCATTGAAGTTTTGTCATTTTCTCTACTCCATGAGGGTAGATTCAAATGCTACAAATAAGTAAAGTGTGTTACAAAATGTTCCTTTAATTTAATATATCTGGGAGACATACTGACATATAAACAAACTATGGCTATTATCTGTAGAATTAACACATAATAACAGTGAAAGAAAACTGCAGCTCTGAACAAGTTTTAAATCACTGCACTCCCATTGTTAAATATTAGGTGTGGATTCTTTTCTTTAGTTGCAAGCATCCTAATAAGATGCTAAGAAGCTGGGTTTTGTTTAAATTGTTTGAGTGATCAAAGATTCAAAATGCTTGGAACTTCTTCAGAACTCAAAGAACTCAAACCACCAAAGTTTTTTAATAGCTATGTAAAACACTATTTATTATTTAATCATTTTTAGAATGTGTCATGATTCTAACGGCAGTCATATGGCTTACACCATTCTGGCTTGGGCAATGCCCAGCTTAACAAGTTCTGCAACAAATGTTGGGGAACCAGGTCATATTAATGAAAATAGACTACTGGAATAAGAAACACTGACAAGGACAGAGAACATGGAATTGATGGAGTGCTACTATAAGGACTGTTTACAACAGGAGAGGTTACATGCAAAGCATATAGGAACTTTGGATGAGCAGAATACCAACGTCCACACTGATCAAGAAGCACGTGGAAGGTGAGTGCTATAACATCAACAAAGGAAATATAATATCAACACTAGAAATACAAAGACTACAGCAAAGTGGGAACAATACTGAGCAGTATGGCTGTTTGGTTGAAACAAGATCACTACACAACCAATGATAAGCCTTGCTCATCTCAATGAGAAAGTTCCTAGAGGACAGGAAATCAGTCAATTACACATCTATACACTCAGCTGGATCAGCAGCATCAGGAGACAGATGCCCATGATGTCAAAACATGAGCACCATTTCCACAGAGGCAGGAGTCACCCCAAGCTAACAGGACCCAAGTGTCAGACTGTGCAAAGGTGCCCTGGAGACTTTTTAGCACACAGCAGTGAGACAGGTCTGGACTGGGACAGAAAAATTTGCTCTGATATTTTTGGTCCAGGAGGCCTACAGCCGATTGTCCAGTTTAATATGTGCACATATTTGTCAAAGCAATAGTAAAGATGAGTAGCACAAGCAAAAATGTGAAATAGAAGAGAATACGTAGGTCAAAGTAACAAAACAGGCAGTAATGAAAATGAATGAATGAAGATTATGCTGCTCTCACATCTAAATTTAACAAATCAAACTCCCAAAGAAAGGGTTGCTCCTGTGTGTGGGCATTTTACAAGCAGCCAGCTGAGCACAGCCAGCAAGAGGATTACCTCAATGTGACTTCAACTTCCAGAGGGAAAGCCTCTGATGTCTGTCTGTGCTTATGCACATCAAAGCAGTTCAGAATACCTTTGGAGTCTTTGTGTCAGATCCTGGAATGGGTTTAGGATAGGGAATTTACCTCAGAAGTTAGGAAGGTATTGTGTTGCAGCAGCCCATTAAATATAAAATACAAAAATGACACCTCGATAAATCAAAATATGATATGATACACTAAGAAGCTTAAATATCAAATTATTGTAGGTGCAGTGGGATGAGTTGGTAAAGAGTTCCTGTCAGTCACTGACTTTGTTATATGAGGTCTTATATCTTGGACACTCAGCTAAAGAGAGGAGCAGAACTTTCAACTGAGTTGCATCCAACTGGCAGGCACAGCTGCCAGTCAGACCTGTAAAGTAGTGAGGTCTGACAGAGTCCCCTGTCCATTTGGTCTCTGACATTCAGAAGAATTTCACCTGTATCTCAGGCAAGTGTTGGAAGTCTGCAACTTCCTTGCTGGAGGAAGTACAACCTAAAGAATTGTGGGAAGCCACGTCAGTTAAACTGAAAAAGGTCACTGGGATAGGTAAGAAATCCCCTTGTGAAAAGGAGCCACATTTGGATGAGAGTCATCCCAAGTTACCAAAGGCTCTGGATACTCTGGAGCTTATTTAGTGGGCATGCCTCTTCAGTGTTTTGTGGAGGTGCAGACTGGAGTCCTGGTTGGTTCTGATAGTCAAGAAGAATACCAAATTAGAGGTATCACGGCCACTTAATCATCCACTTACATACCTCTATAATCAAAGTGAGAGCTGGGCCCTCATGCTTGGCACAAAATCAACCAAATTTTCAGTGGGTACTGGACTCTCCCATGGTTGTCCCTTGTCTCTAGTCTGTGACATTCATGCACAGGAGGGAACTCCATAGCGCTCCTACCATTTGTGAGTCTTGTGCTTATTTCTGGCTTCTAATTTTGTTGAACATCTGATGTTTAACGACATCAGATGTTCAACAAAATTAGATTTACAGATTTACACATCAGATTTACAGATTTACAGGCTCTGCCAGTCTTGTATTTTCAGAGACACATGCCACAGTCTCTTCCCCCATTGACAGACTCCACTGTCTTAGACTACAGATATCTCTTTTGTTCTAAAGCTCCACTGTGAGGTGAAGAATCATTTTAACCAAAACTGCTGCATGTAAAGAACTGGATCAGATAAAATACTCAGACCAGCCATCAGGCATCAACAACCAGGCTGTTTTCAATCACATTTCATTCTGACTGAACTTCACTAGACTGTCTTGAACATGACTACATGCCGAAATGCTTTGAATTTCTGAGATAGTTTGATACATTAAGTGTTACAAGTACCATTTACATATATTGAGTAACCACAGTCAAAAGTGAAATGAAATGTAATTATAGCAAGCCTCAAAAAAGCTAAGCTACTTCATGAGTAAGTTCCATTTTTATTAGACTTGATTTTAAAGAGAAAAATGTCAGACCTCTGGTAGAGGACATGAGACAACTTTAGGAGGACCTACACATAAACACACTGTGTGTACATGTGCTCAGTTATATTTAACAGAGACTGTTAAAAATAATTAAGTTAAATTCAATTAATAATATTACAACAAATCCTGTCTCAAGGTTATTCAACTGTTTGCTAAAAACCCTGGAATAAACAAGTCAGAGTAAAAGATTGCTGACAATCTTCCTACTTGGACAATACTTCAGGGATTTTGACACCTTTTGTGCCACAAAATGATACATTTTTATTGTATTTCTACCTTTTGCTTCTGCATTAAGTAGGAACACATAGAAAAGCAAAAAAGTTTGAATGTAATCTCAGAAGCGTGTGCTTGTGTGAAAAGTCTCCAGGCAATGAGAATCAAGCATTTAATACAGTCATGAACACATTAAAGGCTCAAGTATGTAAAGTCTTTCCTGCAGCAGGCTGTGGTTGTTCGCAGGTGCTCTCTCTCTCGCTCTCTCTCTCTCTCTCACACACACACACACACACACACACACACACACA